AATTAAATTATATTTGTTTCACATATTATATATATATATATATATATATATATATATATATATATATATATATATATATATATATATATATATATATATATGCATGTATAACACTAAAGCACTCCAAAAACACTAAATCATCCAAAGTATTACATGTAATCCCATAAATTAATAAAATTTATTATTTACTCACTTAATATATTTTTAACATGCTTTATATGGATGATTTTTAAAAAAAAAATCCATGAGTCTTTCTTAAATAATTTTTTTTTTCTAAGATAACAAGAAAAGAGTCTTTCTTTAATAATTTTTTAAAATATTTTATCTAACCAGGGCTTTTAAAATGATATCCTTGATCATTAATTTGATGAAAATATTCCTCCATCCTTCACCAATCGTCCTCGACCACTATCGCTTCACCTATTCCTAGTCTTAACCTTCGTTGCCTTTATCACTGTCACCGCTGATCCAATCAGGGGCGATGTTACCCGTCGAACCTTCTTCCCTCACTTATTTCTCTTCTCCTCCTCCTCTCTTGTCGCTTGCCCTTCCCTGTCATCTATCGCCTTTTTCCTTCTCCCTCCATTTTTATAATTAATAAAATTTATTATTTACTTATTTAATATATTTTTTAACATTCTATATATGGATGATTAAAAAAAAAACCTCCAATTTTGAGTCTTTCCTAAATAAGTCCTTTTTTTTCTAAATTTTCTAAGATAATAATATATGAGTTTTTCTTCAAAAAGTTTTTATTTTTTTAAAATTAAGATATTTTAACTAATCATTGTGCTTTTACCAAATGACATCCCTGTAATTGCTTTAGCATGTCTTTTTTGTTAATTTGATAAAAATGATTCTCCATCCTCTACCAACCCCTCCTCAACCATTATCACCTCCCTTGTCATTAGTCCTAACTTTTGTCTGCTTTTGCCACCAGTATCCTCACTCTCCTCACGAGCGATGCCATCCGTTGAACCTCCTCACCTTCGCCATTCCTCTTCTTCTCATGCTCCTCTTCCCTCGTTTCTTGCCTTTCCCTATCATTTGTTACCTCGTCCCCCTCATTTCTTCTCTTCTATCTTTTCCTTATCTTTTTGTGTCCTCTCTCTCCTCTGTCCTTCCCTAGAAAGAAAGAGAAGATAGAATAGAGACGTTTCTCATAGTAGAAGCAGGGGCAACAATGACGAAGGCGATGATGGTCAGGAGAAGTGATAATGATAACGATCAAGAGCAATTGGTGAAAGACGGAGGAGTATTTTCATCAAATTAATAATATAAAAAAGGGTTCATCGTTGTGCTAAAAGCCCAATAATAATTTTTTTTAAGGTAAAACACCTAATTTTCTCTAAAATAACAAAATTATCTTGTTGACAGCCTGGAATTCACACCATCTCAGCTAATAGAACCAACCAAATTGGTTCAGTGTCAAATTAAATCGGTTATAATACTTTTTTAAAACGAGTTAGAGTATCGGGGTTCATTAATCGATAATCCTTTTGACTATATTTAAAATATTATATCTTTTTAAGTAGATTTTGGATCCAATCACAACTTCAGCACTTCAAAAAATATTGTATCAAAATTGCACTGCTCAGAGATATTCTATTTCTAATGATTCTTTCTTCGGTGCATACATCTTGAGTTTTTATTAATAAACACCTGTTCATCATGTCCACGGCATGAAATGAGCAATAGATATCTATTGATATGCCACTTAGATAATAAAATCGATAGATAAACTTGTGAATAATGTAAGAAATATTTGTATTATAGATTCGGACCATCAAAGAGCCAAATGTCGAGTTAGAGAATAGTGAAAGATTATTGTATCAAGGAATTATATATTGTTTTATTGGGCTTAGCAACCTATTCCAAACAATGGTACTATCTAACACCCTAGATTCGGACCATCATGATATCGTTTTGACAATTTCGTAGTCGTATTAGTATTGCTTAAAGCTCAGATATTTTCCTTTATATATTTCATATTTTGGGTGGTTGAGACCTTAGGTTGGTGAGTGAAGGTAAGAGTTCCTAAGAGTTCTTCCAAGTGACAACTCTTTCACTTGTTTATATGAGTTATTCTTTGTTGAAAAACAAGAGTATTGTAACATTCTCTAACTCTCCGAAAGAAAAAGTATAAATGGTTGGAACAAAAGTACAAAGTATAAAATATTGAGAGTGAAAGCAGGACATGATGATTGAATTTTTTTTTACTCAATTGAGATATTAAAGCTTGTCTAAAGTTTGCACTATTACTGATGATCCTATGAATCCTTATAATTAGTGGCACGGATTAAAAATGAAAAAAGCAATTCAGCATTTGATCAATAGTTTTTTTTATTTAAAATACAAAAGGTGAAATCATACATACATATATTTATTTATTTATTTATATCTTAAAAACTTGAGTAATTAAAATGTGCAAAAACCTTTAATACGATGCTTAATCCAACGGCTAAATCGTATGTTAAATACTTACCTTAAATCATCACCAACTAGCCGTTGCGAGGTCGCCGCCTCCGCACCCACAACGTTATAATCCCTCCGCCCCAATCCAACCTCAAAACTCCCACCTTTTTCTATCTCCCGCTCCTCTCAGCCTACTTAAACCCATCTCCAGATCGTCGAGCTTCGTGTTTAGATTCACTTCTTCCGCTTCCGACTATCTCTGTGATCGATTCCGGGGACCGGAACGGCAGCATGACGACCCCTGTCAAGAAGTACCGTGCCCCGAGATGTTATCTCTCGGAGAACATCGATCCAAATGTTGCCGCTTCCACTCCGCCGAGATCAATCAGGTCTCCGGCGATCCTGTCCGCAAAAACGAAGAAATCGGTGCCGAAGATGTCGTCGTCTCCTTCCCTAGCAAATGCGAAGCGAACGGCTGCTGGTGAGAAGGATTCGGTGAAAGGAAACAGGGATTTCAAGTCCACGAAACGTCGACAAGTCGCCAGCGATGGCCTCGGCACACCGCAGGAGAAGCCCTTTGCGAGAATTCAGGCAGATGGAACAGAGAAAATGAAGAAGAATCGCGAAGAAATCTGGTGTTCGCTGGCGGAAGAACCAGGGACTGGAGAATTGGAGGGGAGTTCGAAGATGAGGATGATGAGGAGAATGATGCTGGAAGAAGCCATGAGTAGCTTACCAGAGCCGGGGGCCGGGCGCGTGATGTATCTGGTGAAGACATTCGAGAGGCTCTTTTCAATCTCCAAGGAGACCAAGGGCGACGGCGGAGGCCAGAGCAAGCGGAAGGTGATGACTTGGGCCCTGCCAGCTTTGCAGCTTCCGACGAAGGCGGATGTCACTGGGGTCTCCTGTTCCCCAGTTGCCTCTTACTCATCCTCTTTCCATGGTGAGGACGACGACGGAGATTCCACCATGCAGTCTTCGGTGAACAGCAACGGTGATAGGTCAGTGATACTATCAAGACATCTTTTCTTTCTGATTATTGTCGGTAACCATCGATTTAATTTTGTTGCCTTCTTAATGTTGCCAACAGATGGAATAGTGAATCAGATGGCCGAGCTAACAGATGCAATGTATGAATTCTTCCATGCATAATCTTGTATATCTCCTATTGTGTAGATCCTGTTTGGCATATCAAATTTGTGTTGCTTCTTTATAGCATGTTTTTTACTCGATAAGTAAGGTTTACGTTTCTTTGGCATTAACTATTTATGCATTCTAGAAGAGAACTGGTTCTCCGGGAAGTAGCCTGAATAAGAAGCCTAAAGTGACACACCAACCTCTCAAGCTGAGGACTGAGGTATTCCGACGTTTAGATACTGATATCTTCTCTTTTTGTACATAGAAAATGATAGAGAATATAGTGGGTTTGAAATTAGTTTATGGAAATGAGGTCCTAGAATCTGACATTTCATCCAAACACAGTATTGAGAGAATCAATTCTTCTTTTCCAATTAAAAGTTATTTGTACTCTTTTTTTAGTTTAAGAAAGAATGAAATGCATAGGAGACCTTTCTTTTCCTGGAATTCTTTTAGTCTAAGAAAGATGAAAGGCAGGAAGACTAATGTGGGCGCTTGCCGCATGCGCACATTTCATGGCCTCAATTTTATGGATCTGCATGGGTTGTTTACTCTGCTTAGATGACTGATGACAAAGCCTTGAGAAACAAGGTAATTCATTTGAATTTGAACCTCAAGTAGTGGAAAATCAATGGTGCAGAGAGGCTTCCTTCTTCTTGGCAAGGAGCAAAAAGTAATCTGGAAATTCGTCGGATACTCAGTCTCAATATCGGCTGCTTCAAATCCACCTTGTCATAAAAAATGTCTACAAGAATTTTACACATTTCTTGGATAGGCATTATGCAAAATCTGTGTTCATTTAGCATGCTATTTCTGTTGGAAGGATTTACTAGACAAGTGTGCAATTTCTTTCGTATCTGTCCTTGTTCCTTTTCTCTTCCTCGAGATCAGGGTTAGTAATGCCTGAAAACTAAAATTCTGTACATAATTTCTAATCAGCCTCAGATAATATGAAGTTTCAAAATAGATTTGGTTATAAGCTTATTACTGTTCAATGAATCTGAACAGATTGAAAATTTTCTTTGACAGCAAAGAGGAAGATGCAAAGAGGAGAACTTTACCAAGAAAATAAGAGGGGTGCTTTTGGAGGAGGAGAAAAGAAAACCCTTCACGCAAAGGCTCACATGGAATATGGAAGAACCTGAGGTTTCACATTTAATCACATTCTTAATTCTAATCAGTTGCATGCATATCATAGAACAGAAGGCAGTATTTAGTAGAATATTCAGTGGCACTAATAGAGGTCCTATAACAACATGACTAATTTTTTTACCTATCTTCAATTTGATTATTCGGCAGACTGAAGAATTATATTCATGCAATACATATTTAGATCAGTGACGATTGAACAAAACCATCATAAGATGTCTGGTTAGCGTTAATTGTGACAAGAAATTATGCTAGTAAATCATCACAATAACAACCTTGAAACATCTCAGAACATAAAAGAAATGATCACACACAACCAAACCAAATGTAGCTTGCAATAACTGAAAGTATATATGCGTGTATATATATATATACACACACATAGACACACAATCTAATGAATTTTAAATATGAGTGCAATTTAGTTTCAACCTAGATTTTGTAAGAACTAAAATGGATCAAAATTTTATAGGAAATTTTGATTTAAACGCTACTGGATTGATACATATGGTCTGTTTTATATTGAAAATTGGCCAATCTGATTGTATTTACATATTCCATCACTGATAGTTCAACTCAAGATCAACTACCGATAGTGACATTGATCTTTGATGCAATGGTACCCGCCAAAGCCTGGCATAAAGGAGCTAACTGAACCAATTAATCTCGTTCTTCATAGTGAACATGTTGAGTTTGATCTTCACGTAGGCTTCTACAGAATTTTTGTTCAAACAAATGCCACTTTCGTTTAAAATTGTATTTTCCTCATTATTACATTGTGATTAATGTGAAAGGCTGCTGAGCATGTGGATTTTATCAAGCAGACAACGTTAGAGAGAGAGAGGCAGGATAAGGTATACGATCTAAATTCAGAAGACCTCAGAATAGCTTCCGAACATAAAGTACGTTTCCTTTCTTCATTGTCATGTGTCATTACAGTTTCCCTTTTCTCACTCATCTAATATGAGTTCTGTTTGAAAGTTTAAAGATCAAGACAAGGAAATAGGAAGAATCAGAATCCAAAAGAGATATAGTACTGTGAGACCAGCCCATGCTGTACTTTGATCAACCCTTCAACCCGAGAAAGTAAGCATCTAACTTGTTTCTTGCTCTTCACTGTATTCTGAAACCTTACTACTCTTACGGAACCTATTTAGCTACTTCGTTATATGTTTCATTTTTGTAATAGAGATCAACAAAACCCTGCACGGTAGTTCCAAAAGAGTCGAGATTTAATCATATGCATTGTGAAGGAACAATTAGCGTCTTTGAACCAGTAAGCTCAGTGTCTTAAGTCAATCAAGGAGGACTAATAACGTGTGGATATTGATTATTTTGAGTCTTTGCTTGTCAGAAAATAATTTCTGGCTGGATATGATGATAGCCACAAGAGATGCTAATACAATTCATTTGTTTAGCATGTAGACAAATTCTATTTGATGATCAGCAAACACTTGAGATTTATCGATGATGGTATGTTCTCACTCATTTGTTCATGTTCTAATGCCAGGTAAATGAATCGAAGCGTGGATGCATCTGACAGACCAATTCTTTCAAATACCCAACTGTCGTTGGTAAACTAAATTCTTCTAGCACTCGTGAAGGCTCAAGTTCATTCAAATTGCAGGATGCATTCTCAGCTAAAATTCTCAACATTTGGAGCTGACCCTTTTGTTTGCCTGACTAAGCAACGTTTGAAGCTTCTATTTTTCTTGCCTTGATCTTGATTTTTTCAGTTTGCGATGCAAAAAATAATCCATTTACATATTTGTCTGAGCAAATGTGAAAACTTTATGTTGGCACATTTGACTGCTTGCGATTAGAAATAACTGTAACAACTGTACGGCAAATGACAAGCCTTGTTCCTAGAAGAGGGTTAAAATGCATTCATTGTTTCTCGCCTCACTTGGCATAAACTTATGAGCTTGTAAGCAGAACCACATGAAAACCTCTTGCGACTGAGCACAATTGTCCAGATTTTTATGCATCATTGTAAGGAACAATGTCATTTGTATCACAACTTTTATTATGGAGAGAATAAGAAGGATTGTAGACATTGAGCTCAGCTGTAATGCACAAAACCAGAAGGTCAAAAGCCAAGACAGTTGAAGCCAAGCTTTCCTACATTTTATACAGCATATGTTCCCCCCTGACTTGATGACTATAATAATGCCACAAGAGGATTTCTGAATGACATACAAAAGTTTGTGCCGCCCAATGAAAAATAATAACACCTCCATCTTTCAAATAACTAAATTACCCGTATATGGAGGATATCATCCTTGAAATTATACTCATCTAATTCTTGTAAATTGCTTTATCTCACGTTGGATAAGGAAACAAAAGAAATGTTATAATCTACTGAGATTAAAATTAAAATAAATTTAGATAGTTACGAGAATGATATAGTCTTATTTTTGTCTCTATAATAGTTCATGCCTTAACCTCTATCCAAGGAAAGCTTAATATATCCGCTCTAAATTTCGTTTTATAGATTGACTCCTTCATGTGGCTTGAATACTTTACCAAGTTTCACATAAGTTGTTCTACTAATCGATTTGTATTGAGTTGATAGTGGTCCTCGTGCTTACTATTCCATGGGTCAGCCCTCCGTTAAGTCTAGTGCTCACATTGGTTCTAAGCTTTATGGAGCTATTGTTTTGAGGTACCTAATCAACATGTGTAGTCTATTACATATAACTTTCCCGCTAGAAAATTGAAACTTATCCCTTTTTGATATCTGTCCCATTGGAATAAATTTTCTCTTCTTATCTTTTTCCTTGGAAATTTCAAACTACTATCCTCTTGGACTATTTTCTGTTTTCTTAAACAAACTATGCATTGTTCCTCACTATGAATACACTTACTATATTACAACTCTTCGGCACTACAACCTTCACCGTATCCCTCAAGGCTTAGTAACATGCTAAACTTATTATACACTTTAGTATCCTATAGATGTATCATTCCTACACGAAGAGAAAATCTTTATGCTTCATGACATTCAATTTTGATTGCCTTAGTATAACCATAGATAGACTATTGTCCACATATAAGCCTTTGCATAAGTATTGAATTCCATCGAGTTAACAATTTTAACATAATTTACACTTATATGATTAAGATGACTATAAAAACTAATTAAAATGAGGTTGTTAACCCTACTATAAGCTATCTATATTTTGTATAAAACATAAACAAAATCGAAAAACATAAACATATACAAATACTACATCGAATACCCCTTGCATAGATTTGTTAATGATAAAGAAAGGAATAACCAGCATGATGGAGGGAGATGATTGATGAGGGCGAAGGCACAACTAGGAGGGAGCAAGGTGGAGGGTGGTAGCCAAAAGGGGTAGAACGAGTATTTTGAAAAGAAAAAAAAATCTCTATTTGAATTTTTCAAAGTTAGGAGTTTGAATTCATCCTTTATTTTTTATATCAATTTTTTTTTCATGTCATTACACTCATTACAGTTATACATATTTATCTAAATTTTAAAATAAATTTATAAATTTTGTTTCATACTTAAAATTATTTTTAAATAAAAATAATAAAAAAATCGATGATTCAAATAATAAAATAACAATAATAAAAATTAATTTAATTAAAAAAATCACTCTGATTCTTGTTTTTGAGAAAAAAATAGAAAAAAAAAACGATTGATCCGGAATCAAAATCAAACAACGGTGAGGACTGGCTATTTACAGGCAAACGATGAATCAGATCAGATCCATCTACTGAGAATTTGGGCCTAGAATTTTGGGCCGGCCTTCGATTCCAGGATCTGCGGTTGATAGGCACACGATGGTACCCAACTTTAGAGTTTTGGGCCGGTGAAGCCAGTCACATTAGATGTTCTGGGCTATGAGGAGCCTGCCACTGAGAAATCTATTAAGCTCTCTCTCTCTCTCCCTCT